GCCAACTTGGGCCAGTGAAGCAACGTTCTCCACAACTAGACTGAAGAACAAAAGGACAGCAACTTGTCTGTTTCCCTTCCCCCAATTCCCCAGCGCTGTTCCCATCCCCCAATTCCCCAATAAAAATCTTTAAACAAAAAGATACATGCATCAGGAAGACCTATCAGTCCTGAATGTTTATGTACCTAGTAGCAGAGCTTCAAAGAACATGAAACAAGAGCTGACAAAACTGAGAGGAAAAATAGACCAATTCACAATTATATTTGGAGATTTTATCATTCCTCTTTTAGTAACTGATAAAATAGGCAGCAGGAAAACCAGCAGGGATATAGGCAACTTGAACAACTGTGTCAGCCAGTTTGACCTAATTGACGTCTGTAACTATAATGTGACAAACAACAACACAGCAGAATACAATTCTTTTCGGGTACATACAGAATGTTCACCCAAGATACACCAGGTGCAGGACCACAAAGTGGGTCTCAATAAATCTGAAAGGATTGAAATCACAGGTAATGTTATTTGACCACAATAGAAGTAAATTAGAAATTAATGATAAAAATATATTTAGAAAATTCCTGAATATTTGGAAATTAACAACTCATTTCTAAATAACCCATAGATCTAAGAAGAAATTACTAGAGAAATTAGAAAATATTTGGAACTGAATGGTAATGAAAACATATCAAAATGTGTGGGATTCAGCTAAAGCAGGGCCTAGAAAAAAATTTATAGCTTTAAATGCTTATATTAGAAAAGGAGAAAGGTTTAAATCAATTATTACCTTACCTTAAACTTCTTCTCTAAAAAGTTAGAAAAAGAACAAATGACACCTAAATTAAGTAGAAAGAAGAAAATAACTTCCTATTGGCAGAGGTGTCAGACAAGGTTGCATTTTATCTCCCTATTTGTTTAATCTATATGCAGAGCATATCACATGAAAAACTGGGCTGGGCTCAAGAAGGAGGAGTGAAAATTGGTGGAAGAAATATCAATAACTTT